TGTACTTGTTACATTATAACATCTAGGCATTTGAATAACATATTGTGTGAAAGCACAGGGTTTGGTCCATTGTTGTATTGCGAAGGATGGTGAAGGGATACGGGAGCATAGACCGAGCAGAATTCTATTGACTGGGTGCATTGGACACTTAAGAATTAATATTCAAGTCCACTTGTAGCAACACAGTAGATATATTGATTTAAAGGTGCACAAGGTAACAGTATCTTGGGTCAGAAAACTATGAAGCAAGACTGTGGTGTCCGTGATGCAGAGTAAAATGTAATGTTTGACGGTGAATTCCAGTGTAGTCTACGTCGTCCTTCCAGACAGGGGTTTATAAAGGGGTCAAAAGTGTGCCGTGTGATAATTTTGTGTGCCATCGTAGTGCCGGGGGCAAACAGACTCTTCAACAGCTGCTGGGGGTCATTCTTAGGTCAGCACTTAGATGTGTGGAGTGTTTGTATAATTGGTTTTTGTATGATAAATCTCCTTATCGTATCTAGGGTTAAATGTCTCCACAGTCTGACCTCTAGTTCACTGACTCTTACAGTCTGGTTGATAAACACAAGTATTAAATCATAATAAGAAATAAAAAGTGTCAAACAATATACATAATCATACACAATTGTATGTGTAGAGGGTCCGTATACGACACCATGTTAACAGTTTATTTTTAATGTTGATTTCTGTTACAAGAATGCTCCATGAACAGAAAGTTATAAAAAAAATAAAAAAAATATTAATTTATATGTTAGTTTTATATTTTTATTATCCTATATACCTGTGTCTTATTATTTGGATTAGAAACAGGTGTCTAAACAATTGAATGTCAAATTTCTTCAGCCATATTTTCAGTGGTGCAGGCAGTCATGTTCATGTTGATTTGTACTACTGAGATATAAATGTTTTCATATAAGATTTGGTAAGAAGACAACTTGCATAAGAATATTGAATGGCAATGGTGTGTTATCTTCTGTGTCCACGATTTTATGACTCGAAAACATTTTGGTTACAATACATGGAAAATCAATACTTACTATAAATATATAATTCTAGAATTTCTGAATGAATACATTTATTACACTACAACATTTTTAATCATTCTGTGCAGTGCCATTGAACTGCAAAGGATTTACAACAAACTCAGTATTATAAGTTCTTTAACTTTATTTGTTTGAAAATGCTATTGAGTTGTGTTTCTGAGTTGCAAAGTGCTTATTGTAAGAGTTTCCATTTAACAAGTATTAGTGAGTTAATGGTGATAATATTGAAATACACAAGGATTAATGTCTATACAGGTTTGTGTGGCGGAGTGTGGAGACATCTTTTTTCCCCCGAGATGTGACACGAGCAATCCTGGATAAAAGAAGAGCTATTCGTCGAGGTGAGGACTTCCTTGTCTCATGGTCGCGCTCTACTTCCACTTCATCAATATTCAGGTGCGTACATGCACACATACACACACACACGTCTGCTTTATAGTTTGCTTGGCCTACAGCAAATAGTTTTCCGAGCATAAATCGAAGGAGATGCGCTATTGACAAGAAACTGACAAATGCTATTTTAATTCTAAAGAAATTATTGTTATTACCCATTCATAGGTTGCTATATTTACATTACTGTAAAATTAATGTTTGATGTTTTGCTTCAAACTGTTCACATTCTTTTAATTGCCTTAGAGTGTAACCTATGCACTGTGACGTGAAAATAACTGTGTAGTCTGGTAGAAATTGGCCAGCATTTTAGAGATGCTTAAATCTACTGTTAATAACAATATGTATAATTTACAAAACAACTTTGATAGACAAATCGTGGGATACCGACCAAAGGAACACTGCTGTTTAGGGCACCCCAGGAAATTACCTTTATTACTTATTATTGCAACCTCTGCGTCCAGACCGGCTCTGGGGCCCACCCAGCCTTCTCTACAATGGGTACCGGGGTTCTTTCCCGGGGGTAAAGCCGGCCGGGGCGTGATGCTGACCACTCACCCCCATCTAGTGCCCAGGTCAAGAAAGAGAGGAGCTATACCTTCACTCACCCTAAGCGCCTACATGGCATATAGTGGGACAAACTTTACTTTTACATATTATTGCAAATTCACATATTGCTTTTTGGAGCTTGTTACCTTTATAGTGTTGATTTTATAATTGTCTGCATATATTAAAGTATTCAAAAGTAATTTACTGTCTGCCTTTATCCAACAATAATTTTTTTCATCCACCTGGCTGTATACGATCTGCAGCTTCTTTTTATTATTCCACGTTAGTGTTCTAACAGTAACACTTCCAGTAGTTTTCTCAGATTTCCGTTCAGCATTTTTAGTACAATTTATAGACAATAATTAATATGTAAATTTCTTAATAAAGAGCAATCTTGTGTAGTATATCTTAGAAGTGGGTATTAATTTAGCACACAACTGTGTGTCTAAAGTCACAGTTAAAACAAAATTCTTCCATATCTACTCTTTATGGCCTGTAGTTTTTTCAGTCTTCCTTTTCTCAAAAGGAGCTTCATGTTGGGTTTGACATTTTCTCAGCAGTCTGTCTGAAAATGGCTGTCTTCTGGGTTGTAGCACTATGTAGTCTGGCAGACTCATCACTCTGATAATGGAGGCAGCAGGGACCTCAGAGACAGTACAAATTGTATGTGCATGCTGATAAATACTCAAGTCTGTCATTTTATTGTATTCATGTGTGTATAGACATGTTACTTTAACATTCACAGTGCATAAGGGTATAAATGATGAAAATATCAGTATGAATATAGTGTACAGCACCTTAAAAGAGACCCTGTTGTTTTCAGCATTCTAATGTTTTTTTTGTTTTTGTTTTTTTGAAATCTTGCTTTTAGTATCAAGCTCGGCCAATTATTTGCTTTGCAGTAATACACACTTGGACCCAAATTGTTGGGAGATACGGAGAATCAAGCGCACTTTGCACTGAGGGACAACATAGCATTTTCTGTCACTTATTATCCATGTAATGAAGTTGCAAGTATTTTGAAATGCCAGGATTCTGTGTATCTCCTGAGGCTCAAGTGTTTGATTGTTACTTCAGGTCCTTGTTACTTGCTTTCATTGTTTACATCCTAGTTCCTGTTCAGCCCTGAACTATGCTTTCCAACTCACCTTGTGTATAAGAGTGCAAAAACTTAATATGAATGGATGTCTTGTCAGATTTGTTATGAAATCTCAGTTCATTTTGGATGAATACTCTGTAAAATTTATACATTATGCTAGTGACGACATTGAATTGCTTGTAGTTCAGAATTAAGTAATTGCAATCTTGTATTTTATTAAATGTACAGCAACATGAAAATTATTTCAAATAAAAATAATTGTGGAAAGAAGCACTTATGGGTTATTTTAAGAGAATGTTTTCAGAATTTGCATGGGAGGTACCTAGTAAAATCGTGAAGAATGTCAGAGAAGCTTACTTCTAAGTTGAGCATGAAACCCTTGTCCCCTGAATATGAATTAGGAGTGCTGTCACCCAAGTTTTTTTACCTACAAATGATGTGTGAAAAATAAAAATAATTGTTTACATTCCACAAAATGTTAAATTTCCAGAACGTAGTCATTCTGTCATGTTCTATACTGAAACGTTTTTAGCATCAATTCAGGGGGTTTTACAAATGGAAACCTTTTTATCGTAAGACACTGTTTGGATGAAATTGAGATTTCATAATGCTAATAAAGGGAGCTAGTGACAGTAGTACCATACTGTCACTTTACATGATGATACGCAGTGGCATAGTGTGATCAAAAATTGTGTATGCACAGATATATGCAGATATAATAATGTAAAGTGCAAACATTTCAAAGTAATAAGGAAACTTTAAATTTTCATGTGATAATTACAATTTCAGTTATTGACAGTGTAAACAACAGGCACCAGCACATCTTCAACACTTTCTCATTTGGTTCTTTTACTTTTTTTTTATCTCTTCTGAAATTAAAATAAGTCTTTCAAGTGTATGTTATGTGTGTGTGCACGTGCATGCATGGGCCTGTGGGTAGGGGTGGGGGGGTCCAGTAATTTTTAATCCTGAAGTGATCTTGCTAAAAAATGCTGTTTGAAGATTATTTTCCTGACTGATTTTTGTAATTATATAGGAGCAACATAACAATTTTTCTCTTTATGGCAGGAGACTTCTGAGAATGTGTGCATCTTTATAATGTACTTTCTTCTAAAATATGAAACATATTGTAGGCTTTCTTTTCAATTTTTTCATTGTAAATTGTTAAACCACTGCCACAAAGTTTATGAAATTTGGTACAGTGAAAGAAAACATATCTACCTATAAGTTTTTACATGTAACATTATCTTGTGTGTTGAAAAATCAAAGTTTTAAGTTCATGTTCACAGCTGATGAACTGAGATATTATACAAAAACTTTTGCAGACTGTTTGAAATTCTGTAGCAACAGAAATTTTGTGAAAGGATAGGTCAGAGTAATATAATCTGAAGTTTGTCTAAATAACATTTAAAGATGGGTTTTACTGCAATGAAAATAGTGGTTTTCCATTGAA